GAAGAAATATATAGCTTAATTCCGCTAGTCTAATACGAAAGCAAATGTCACCGTTAACTCCTACAGATCTGACATTGCCTCCCTCTTGACCACGTCTCCAGAATGCATCCAGAAACAAATCCCTCTCTGCAATCTAACGGTTCACATAAACATAAGATGCTGCCTTACCCACTACTAAGTCAGGCCATGAATCCATTTGACTGAATCCACTGACTAGCACAGCTCAATTGCACTCGTTTCAGGGCTAACTTGCTTGCTGTCAGGGATGTTGGCAAGTCTGAGTCCGCGTTTTCGGTACCAAGTCCCAAGTCTGAGTCCCTATTAAAGAAAAGGGATTTTTTCTCTCTCCAGGAGATGGATGGGTTACAAGTCACGAGTCGAGTTTGAGTCACTGAAAAAAAGCCAGAGTCGAGTCAACGGGTGCAACTTAAGTCCGACTTGACAGCGAATCCCACAACTTGAGTCCCCATCCCTGCTTGCTATGATTACTAAAGGGCAGGTCACTGGGATGGGATTCCCTTTCTTTCTTTTTCAGTTACTGGTAACCTTGCAAAGATCCACTTCCACATCTTTACAACTTCTACCTGCTCCCCCTCATTGACCCCACCCACCTCTCAGGGGATAAGCAAGAAAAAACACACCTCCCTTGGTGCTCATGGTGTGGGGTTGTTTTGTTTATTATTATTTTTAGCCCTACCTGGGAAGGCAGATAAGAAGCAGTGGAAAGGTTTAAATCCCTCCTGCAGGTGCTCCTTGCCCTGACCTGGATCAGATCAATACAGGTTTACAGTACTTGCAAGCAGAAAAGACAGGGGCCGGTGGCCACACATGTTGTTTAGCCATCAGCCAGGAATCTTTGAACTGGGACTCAAAAGGTCCTGTCATTGATTGCATTTTGGCAAAGAAGCAAGACTCGTCCTTTCCATTGGGTGCTGCCTTTTAAAACGGAATGCTGGCTGCTGCCATCTTTATACCAACTATGAGTTTTTAGCGGAATGCAGTCCACTTTGTCTTGGTAATTCTGGACTCATTAGACTTAAAATGTGTCAGTTGCCTGACACCTTGAGTATTTTTATGGGAAGATAAAAGATACCAAAACCAAAACAAGAACACACCATCCCTTATGAACCTTAACTGTTATTAATGGCAGTACAAACAAACTGCTTAACTTTGGGCAAGAATGGCCCCTACTTCTACACATCTATTTCAGTTTTAATCGCTTCAAATACTGTGATTGACCAGAAGTAAGGTCTTCAAGCAACAACCCTCCCTCCTCCCAGTGCATCTCTGGGAGAGTAGAAAGGTAGGGAAGCAAAACTTCTTAGAAGCGTCAAGCATTCCTGCAAAACGGCTGCAAAGAAAATGAAACTTCTGAAGTATAAAAGGGCAACTATTTCATATCTGTAAAAACAAATAAGCTCCTCGGTATTGAGATTTTAAATCTGTCACTTCATTAATACTTTGCTGTACCAGCAAAAGCTGTTCAATAGCAGCAACCTCTGTCTCCTCTAGATAGCATTTCTTAAGCACAGACACACTCTTCCATCTATCTTTAGTATAAAAAAGGATGATGGATATTACTTTTAAAAAAGGTGACCTCTAAAGGATTATGTTGAAAAAGAAAATAGGGTTGAAGCATATTTTGCGTCTCTATAAAAGGAAAAGAGAGACACTTTATTCTTCTTTTAAAACACAGCCAAAAAGGAAAGAGAAATAGTTTAGCAAATATTAGACCTGTAACATTTCCTTGATCTCAAAGAACAGTGAGAGTTATCAGAAGGATTGCAATTTAGCTCATTATTAACAGTCCTCTTCAAAAGGTGAAGTAGGGACATACATGTAGCTACAGGGAGGTTCAAACTTCAACTCACATCTCTTCCCTCAAGTCTTCATTTGTGGACCCTGACATTAATAAAACTTGCGTCAATTACGTGCCCTTTTTTTTTTTGCCGTTATATTCATGAAGTACCTAAACCAAGTAAAATCAACACGATCCATCTTCTACCTGCTTGTAAATCTAGGTGGACAAGAATGACAACATCCTGGATAAGAAAAATGGAACGGTTCATAGAATGTGGAACAGGAAGACCTGTCTGCTTCTGGCTGTTCACATGAGAACCACCTTTCGCGCGTTTGTACCCCCAGATCTTTCGGGGAATCTGTTGAAGCCCACCAAAGCTCATGCAAAAAGCTGAGGGAGGGCCGGGAGAATGCTTTGTGATATATCGGGAGTTGCACAGCTCTTCCCCATCCCCCCACCCCAAACGCTGGATTTGAAGGCTTACGGGAAGTCTGGCACCAGGTTTTTCAGCTTCTTATACCCAGCTACTCTGCATTATCTGCCTGCATCTGAGACTCTTGCAGTGTTTCCTTCTTTGACATGCCATCTTTCTTACAACATTGGGAGCCCAGATGGCGTACAATACCTTTAAAAGCCAACAGAAAATTCAAAATTCAAATACAATTACAGCACAAACATTGAATAAATATGAGTTCATTATGTTATTAAAATGCAATGAAAATTAAAACACTTAAAATATATTGACTAAAATACTAATAAGGTAAAGGTAAAGGTTCCCCTTGTGTCCGACTCTAGGGGGTGGTGCTCATCCCGTTTTTCAAGCTGTAGAGCTAACACTTGTCCGAAGACAGTTTCCATTGTCACGTGGCCAGCATGACTAGGGAACGCCATTTTACCTTCCCACTGAGGTGGTACCTATTTATCTGCCTGCATTTGCATGCTTTCGAACTGCTAGGTTGCAGGAGCTGTGACAAGCGACGGGAGTTCATTCCGTCACGTGGATTTGATCTTACGTCTGCTGGTCTTCTGACCTTGCAGCACAGAGGCTTCTGTGGTTTAGCCCGCAGCGCCACCACATCCCACAAAAATACTAATAAGAGTTTGCCTTAAAGGAGAAAATTAAAACATCAGAGTCATATATGAGTTTAGGCTCTTAGTTGCTGAAGGTCTGCCTGAATAAAAAGATTTTTTTTCCTCTCAGCGATTGGCAAATAGCACATAACCTAGAAGAAATGGAGGAAAAGCCCTTTCTTGAATTCCCCACCAAATGGTACTCTGAAGGCGGTGGAACAGTGGGAACAGCCTCTTCACCAGACCCCAAAGCATGTGGGAAAATGCCACCTTTCAGATGGTCGGGGTGGGGTGGGGGGACAGGGACCAGACCCAAGCCATACTTCATGAACTGACTCTGACAAACTCACTAAGAACAAAGAGAGAGAGAGAGAGAGGAAGAATGTGGGATGGGTTGGCAAGGGTAAAAAGAATACTGGGAGGAGATAAAGTTTACAGCCAATGAATAAATTCCATACATTATAGAACAGAGAAAATTAGAAGGAAGGGAAAGACAATGTAATTCTATGCAGAGGAAATGAGGCAAAATAAAACTTTATTTTAAAATGACAACAAAAATACCCTTGCGTGGTAAACCTACCAGTGCAGCCCCTCTGAGCTCCTAAAATGTAAAAAGGGCCCCCATAGTGATCTAGTTGTGCACCTGACAAAGCAAACCTGTGGATTTAAATGTAGTTAAAAAACTGAACCATCCAGCCCTATATCTGAAATTATATTTTTGCACTATCCCAGCCAGTAGGACACACGAGGAAAGCTACAGTAATCAAGAAGAAGCTAACAACAATGCCTGCGTATTTCCTGCAGTAGGATAAAGGCAGTATCACTCCATGAATTCCACAATTAAAAATGAGGACATCTGTGAACTTGAAAAATTCGGTAGAAGCTACTGCAACAGCAGGGAGAAGTAGTAATGCTGTTTCCTTTCACGCATAACAAAAAGAAAAGAAAAATTATATGCTGAGAATACGGCTTGGGAAAGAACTGCCGCTGGTTCTATAAACACAATCTTAGGCTGGAGTTTGCTGAGGATGGCATTGCAGCAGCTATGGAGATCTATCACTTTCAATGCTTTCTCTAAGTCAGCTGAGCAGGGGAAAGGGGTTCCCAGAAAACTACGGGCCAATCTCTGAGCCTCTGAGACAAAGGTCCACTTTCGTTATAACAATCCCAGTCATTAAATTGTTCTCCTCACTCTGTTCCAGTTTCGGCAAAAGTATCTTGGTTTTTATGATCAGATTCCAGGGATGACCAAACGAGAAAACTGAGATTTACAGGTTCTCTACTAACAAGATCCTTCTTTAATTTTCTGGTTTGGAAGAAGCCCTTAAACCTCAATTTCCTAGCTGAGATGATATCAGAAACTGGGGCTTAGGAAACCAGTAAACCATCACTGGAGCTGGGCGCAAAAAGGAGAGAAGGGAAAAACAGGGGTGAGGCGGGAATACGCAGTTGCATAATTCATAGGGATAAGGTTTGCCATGACTGAAGTGGGCCATAGTATCAAACTCATCACAATTACTACTACTAACGGAGTTCAGTAGTCAGAGGAACTGAGCATGGGTCAAGGCCTTGTCCTCCATTTACCTGTCACATGTGCTTTTGCATGCTTGGACAATGGATTCACTTCTCTACACTATGCCAAGAAAGAATGGACAAGAAAAACTGAAGGCAGATAACTTCCTGTACAGACATCATTAGCTGCAAAGCCCACACAATATAGGTCAGGATTCTGGAGAGGATAAAGCCATACTAGTGATTAGGACAGAATAACAGACTCTTATAAGGCTAGCACCAGGGAGAAAGGTAAAGTAGGGCTGTGGTATCCATGGAGGATCAATTCCAAGTAACAGCCCACCCCAGATGCTGAAACACGTGGATATATTGAACACCATACATTGCATGGTCTCTGGGTCCATATAGGGGCCAGGTCTGGTAAACACACCCTGTAAATACATATAAAGAGGTATTTCCGGGGTTTTAATTTAGTATTTTCAGCCAATGGATAAGTGAATCAGTGGATACTCATCCTGTGAATAAGAGGGTCCTACTATACCAGCCTTTTGTTTCTGGCAAATATCAGACCTAATAGCTAGCTAGATAAGACAGACAGATAGATAGGTATACGTACCTGTGTTGGAACCTGCCAATAAAGTGCCTGTGGACGTATTTGTAGGTAGTTTCCCATTATTCAGCTGCTTCACTCTTTTCAAGTGAGACTTCCCATTGTAATGAACCTGAGCCTGTGCTGCTGAGTTCAACTGTATATTGCAGACATCACAGAAAGAAAATATCTTTTTTTTCTCTTTACTGAAGTGATAGTCTAGGCTGTCATGTCTCAGTCCTTTTTCTTCAAAGCCACAGAGAAATGCTGTTGGATTCATAATTCCATCTCCAAAGAGGTGGTCAGGACTCAATGGGCATTTCATGCCTGTGGAGAAATTAAAAACAAAACAAAACATGGACTCAGGCAAAAAAAAGGGGGGGAGGAAGAAAACACAAAAGCACATGTGGGCGCGTACACATACCACAAAACTAGAGCAAGTGAGTGAGGTTATTTTTTCCTTTTCCTCCTAATTTGCTCTTGTTGTTGCTTCGACTTCTATATAGCTACACCACTCTCAGGGCGGTTTATAACCTAACTATTGCAAGGAGCACCCTGCACCCCCCCAGCGAGCAGAGTACTCCTGTTACCAGCCTCAGAAGAATTAGTATTACTTTATGTGCATTAAGCAATTATTTTTAACAAATAATACGAAATAAAAATAACATAGGCCATGGCATCATCAGTTCAGCAGGTAATGGTTTTTCTTGAAGGAACATGTAGACTTACAATGGAAGTCAAAGCTTAACGGTAAATTAAGTAAAATACAGCTCTTGAGCACAAAGTCCTCATTATTATGTTCTAGGTCTTATAGAAGGAACTCTATTATTCTACCAGCCTAACATTTCATATGCATTTTGTATTTATTTCTGCCTTCTTTCTTTTTAACTGTGTCATGCGGGAGGTCCATTATTAAACCTCCCAACATCTATGTTTTTATGTTAATGCAGTGGGGCGGGGGTCTAGGGGGCTCTGCCTTTAATAAGAGCAACAGCATAGTGAGAAGGGAGGGTACCAGAACATATTTTTAAGGAATCAATTGAAGATTTAAATCAGGGAACATTACACTTTTTAATGACAGCTGCTGGTACTGTCCATGTACCATGTCCAAGGAACAAAGCACAGATTTCATTAGTTGTCTGTCCATTAAGAAAATTATCCAGTAGATTCAAATCCGAAGCTTAGAATTTCCCAAAAGAGCAGCAAAATGTACTTGTTTCATAAAACAGTGGGCTGATATTTTTATTCACTTGAGATATTTATAACTTAGCTCTTTCCGTAGCCCACATTCCAAGGCAATGTTTCCCGAATGTTTTCAAGTTGCAGCCCCCTTTTTAAACAACCAAATAACCCATGAACCTCCCACCATAATTGCATGAGAAGGCATTTCTAATCAGGTAAAGAAAACACATTAAAATAGATTTTTCAGAATATAATTCTACCCTAATATTAATATAAGAATACATAATTATGGGGGAAAGCTGTAAATCTGCCTCTATCTTCCCCTCCCCTTTTTGCCTCCCTTGCCTTCTTCCTCCAAGAATCACATGGGGCCCAGAGGCATTTCCCTGCCCGGGTCCCCTCTCCCTTCCAGGTAGCGCCAGAAGAAGATTCAGGCAGAGCGAAAGGTGCCTCTGCCGTGGCAGCAACTCCTTTTCAATCCTGCCGGCACCTCCAGCCTTAGCATTCCCAGCAGGAGCTGCACGCTCGCCTCATTCAGGCCTCTTGGAGCCAGGCGCACACTCGGTTTCCAAAGGGCTGACATCGGTCCTCCAAAGGTGGATGTGCAGGAGCAGGGAGATGCAGGCGAGGGCAGCTCTCTCAAAGGGGGTGGGGGGGAGATGCCCCTGCATGAAAGGAAAAGCTGCCTAAAGGGGTCCAGAAACAATAACTCTGGGTGACAGTGTGGCGAGAGGATTAAAATGAAACAGCATTGTGTACACCTTGTTTAATGCAATAAATATAAAAATAATTGCAACTAAAAATCACCATGAAACCCCCAAGAAAACACTTAGTGACCCCCTTGGAGGTCCTGACTCCCAGGCTGGCAACCTATGTTCCATGGTGTAGATTCCACATATAACTAGGTTTGGCTGCATTAAAATAGAATAGAATAGAATAGAATAAAATAATAAATCACTTGTTACCTTTTGTTGACACTAAAAATTTGCTACCTCAGGTAGCTACCTCAACATCTCTAAAGGCAGAGCTGGCACTGATAAAGAATAAAATCAAGTCAGATGAAGGCAACTGGAAAAAAAACACTTTGAAAATATTAAACTGGTCAAACAGTCAAAATATTCTTCATCTTAATTTGAAATCTGACCAGCTTTCTTTGTACCAAACTGAAGTGCTTGAACAAAAACTGAGCATTTCATGTTCAATTTTGCATTTGACACTTTTCAGTCATTTAAAAAACTATAATGACTTCTTTGCACTTTCTTATTTTCAACTTTGGACTTTAATTATACAGTATTACCCAAAAGTCTGCTGGAATAGGCCTTCATGCTGCACCAATATCTAGATGTTCCAGGTGCAGCCATCCTACCTCAGACCCAGTAAATTGAAGCAAATGCCTGTGTTTGGCACTTCATCGGAACTGGATGGAGAAGGGAAATGAGGTTCTAGATCCTTCTTCCTAAAAAGTGGGGGAGAAGAAATTTGGGAGGAGGGAGAATATTCCTAACTGTGTCAATCAAGAAAAATACCAACAGGCACAACGGGTGGGGGAGGGGGGCAAAGTTTCTCAGACCAGCTGTGGGTTTGGCCCATTTTCTAAAATTCCCTTCATACCCATTTGGAGAACCATCTGGTCCAGAAGCCGTTCTCATCCCACTCCCAATGCTTGCCTGCCCACTGTCGTGACATCACTCAAGTCTACACCTATAATGTCACAAGGCTGCCCCTCCCCGGTATCAGGTTTTCAGATGCTGAGAATGGGATGTTGTTGACTGAAAACACTGAAGGGCTCTAGTGTTGAAGTAACCTTGGTGAAAAGCTTTGTCTCCACCCTCAGTTCCTCAACTTGCTGCCAAAAAGCTTCCAGAGGCATAGCGGACTTTTCAGCACTACAAGGAGCGGAACATTTAATCTGCTCTCTTTACTGATAAAAGTACATAGTCCTTCCTGACCTCGCCATACCTGAACTAGGAAGTCACAGATTCTGTAGCTTTTCCTCAAAGGAAAGTACTCCATTTTTCTTGACTAGTTTTGTTGTCTTTGTATGACACTGTAAGCTCTGTGATCGTATTCCTTTTGAGACATGGTAACTGACACTGTGCACAGTATTCTAAATTTGCCCATGTTATGGTTCATTATAGACATGGGCACAAACCAAACCACAAACCAGAAAAAACCAATGAATTGGGCTGGGTCCTGAGTTCAGTTCACGAACCAGTTCAGGGATCCTATTTTGCTAAAGCAAGGTGAAGCAACCAACTTTTTGCCCCTCGGTACTTCATTATATTCAGCAAAAGGGGATGCCTGCCTGACACCTTCCCCATCGCCTCCCTACCTGGTCCTGCCACCACCTCCACCACTGCTTCTGCCGCCATCCTCAGAGACAGCAGGACCAAGTAGGGAGGTGACAGGGGCAGTGACAGAGGAGGCAGGAGGAGGTAAGTCCCCCCCCGTACTTCATTATATTCAGCAAAAGGGGATGCCTGCCTGACACCTTCCCCATCGCCTCCCTACCTGGTCCTGCCACCACCTCCACCACTGCTTCTGCCGCCATCCTCAGAGACAGCAGGACCAAGTAGGGAGGTGAAAGGGCAGTGGCAGAGGAGGCAGGAGGAGGTAAGTCCCTCCTCCCCCTGGCACAAACTAGAAAAACAAACTGTGAACTATGAACCACAAACCATCACGAATCTCCAGTTTCTTGGTTCTTACCTATCTCTTATCCTCTTATTCTACTACAGTACATTTGCTGTTAGCTGGGGCAGTAAAAAATAAAAATTCCTGGCATGAGCTAAATAAGGGTTTTATGTTCTCACTATGCAAGTCACAATATTTTATCAATGGCGAAATGTGTCTGACAACACTGGAGGCTGTGGTAGCTATCCATGAAAAGAGCCCTTTTTTAAAGAAATACAGTCCTCAAGCTATTTCCCACATTTTACAGGAATTACACTCCAATCATAAAGATTTGATGTCAATATGTGCAGAATGTATCTGAAGCAATTCAAAACTTCTTCAACCAGTTATTGAGCCATTTATTGAAAGTAAAACTGGAAGACAAATTCAAGAGTTAAAAATATAGGTGACATTTTCTGATTCCCTGAAGACATGGGTAAAGGATATTTCTAAGTGGAAGAATTACAGTGGTGCCCCGCTAGATGCTTACCCCGGTAAACAACAAAATCGCTTGATTTTTGTGATCGCAAAACAATAGTTCCTATGGGGGAAATCCGCTTTTCGTTGATTAGGTCCTTGCTTCGCGAACTGTTTGTTCGCAAAACTATGTTTCTTCTGGCTCCGCAAAATGGGTTCCCTTTGCAAAATGGCTTCCCTCCCTTCGCAAAATGGCTGTTTTCTGGACAGAAGCTTTGGAAGACAGCGATTTTAAACAACTGATCGGTGGTTCTCTATGGGCAATCTTCGCTGGACGATGAGGTATTTCCCCACTGGAACGCATTAACCGGTTTTCAATGCATTGCAATGGTTTTTTTTTCGCATGACGACGATTTCGCTTTACAGCGATTTTAACGGAATGGATTATCGTTGTCATGCGGGGCACCACTGTATTAGATTGCAATTTTAGAAGAGATGGAAATCTCACATTCTCTGGGAGATGTCATTACAACTGACAGAACATGAGTATTATTCATTACACTGGAATCCTACTTTTCATTTAAGCTCAGACTGTTGTGTGGGATTCAGCATCTGTGCCTATAAATGAGCATATGGAATTTTATGCAAACCATTGTTCTTTATATCCTGTTTTTTAATTACGTATGTGGAAATGTCCACTGTCATCAGGAGTGGAAAATGCTGTCGTTATCATCTGGCATCAAGATCATTGTTCTTTATATCCTGTTTTTTAATTATGTGGAAATGTCCACCGTCATCAGGAGTGGAAAACGCTATCGTTATCATCTGGCATCAAGAAGTCAATTGACACAAGGAAATATTCAGCATGTCTCTCAAATCTGATGAATGCTGAAAAGTATGGTGATACGCCTATTAATGTAGACGATCATTAATGGTAATTAGCAGTACTGTATTATACTGTACTACACTGTTGTCTTATAGAAGTTATATGATGCCTCAGCAACAACCCTT